AAACAATAATTGAAATACAAAATTACTCTGCTTATGATGCCAACTTAGAAATCTGAAATTCCAGCCAATATCATTTTGAATAACATGAAGTTTGTCCCATACTCATTTCGATACCCAAAAGAAAATGAGTTGCAACAAAAATGAGTCCAAGTTTTTTCTGTGTAGAGTAGCAAAAGTTTTAGTTAAATCTTTCGCTATTCTAGTGAAACTTTTCCCTATTTTAGGTAAATATTTTTTTCCTTACTTTTTGAATAATCAAAAGTATATTAACCTTGAAATTTTCTGCATTTTATTATTTTATTATTATTATTTTTTGTTTTTTTTTTTTAAACTTCTATAACAAGGAGTAACTTTAACTTATTGAAGTTAGACACAATCTTCAATTAAAACTTTATCGTCTTTTTCCGGAAAGTTTCGTATTTTAAAGATAACAGAAGAATCACGTACACTTTTATCCTTGCGACTTACATAAAAGATAAAGAGGATCCTTTTATTCCCTGTGTATTTACGTAGAAAATTAAAAAAAATACTTATAAAAAAAAAGAGAAAGAAAGAGAGAGAAAAAAAAATTCCAAATTGGTAACATACAACGAGAGCAATTTAATTTTAGTTGTTTGTTTAAAAACATACTTTTCTGAACGAAAAAACTTAGGCAAAAGAAGAGAGAGATAGGAGGGGGGGGAGAGGGGCTTCATAATTTATTTCTCAAGGGACACTGATTTCATTTTCTCGTACAAAGAGAGTTTCTTGTTCGCAATAGTGCTCAAGTGTCTTTTATAAAATATGATTAATTATTATATATATACATTAATAACCATACGCACGTATGCTGTAATTATTTATATCACAACCCAAGTAGAAATATCCGTAGCTCGCCGTAATTAAACACCGGCATGGTACTGATCCAATACTGGCTGTCGGTATTGACTTTCAGTACTGGCAGTGTACTGACTAATACACCGAATCAGTACTATGTCGGAGGTAAAAAAATATTAAAACCAGTACTGGCAGTACACTGTCATTCACACCGAATCAGTACTATGTCGGTGATAAAAAACATTAAATGAAAAAGTCTTTAAATTATTTCAATAGGTAGAAAACGATGATTTTTTATTTAAAAAAATGTATATTAATTTCTTTCGAATACTTTCCCTCAAAATTTTGGATGTAATTGTAATGTATTATTATATACCTATATAAAATATATTTATGTTTTTTTAGTTATTTTAGTACTCATATGTGCATTAAGTTATTTATCATGCATACAATAACAATAAGTTGAGAATTTTTTTCTAATAGTTTTAAAAATAAAGCAAATGTAATTTTTTCACTGTAATTTTTAAATATTATTAATAATTAAATATTAAATTTAAAAAATTTTTCACCATTCATATTTTACAGTCGTCTTTTATTAACTTATTTTTAATTATGTAATTCATCAATCATTTTTGTCTGTTTTAATATTATTTACGGTAAAAATAATTTATTAAAAATATTTAACTGAAATTGATATCCAGTTTTATTTCATTAAATCTTTGTAAAAATTGAAAAAATTTTGTGAGTTTAAAAAATTTAAGAATAAATTCATTTTATTTTCGTGATCAATAGATAATACAAACTTTGAAATCAAAACTTTTGTATTAGGTGAACTACTTCAAGTCAGCACTTCAAGCCAGCGCGGCTGTGCGGTATGCGTATCTGACTTGCGTTCTAAGGGTTTAGGGTTCGATCCCCCATGCGTGCGAGATTTTTCGTTCTTAGTTTTAAGTGTTATAAGTACAATATTTGTTCATGTGTAATATCAATTATTAAATAATTATTAAATTAAGTATAAGTGCAAAGTAAAAAAAATTAAATATTATGAATTTAAAAAAATAAAAAAATTTACAACACAAATTATTTTTTGTAAAATAATTTATTAAAAATAAAATAATTTAATTAATATAAATGATAATTATTATTTTAATTATTTCTTGTTAATAATATTTTATATATTCTAAATAACATTAACTATTATTGGCTTCACATTACCTGTTCGTGGTAAAAATGGGAGTAATAAGCTAATAAGGATGAAATTTGCATTGGAAAGCGTGTTTTAGCATTTTGTAAAAAAGTGAGATTTTAAGTCCGGATAAGTACTTTGCCAGTATTATGCCAGTATTATTCTAGTACTACGTTAGTACTGGTGAGCGGGACAAAATCAGTACTGGACAGCGTTACCAGCCAGGGTTGGTCCACTACTGGCCCAGTACGGCAGTCAGTACTATTATACTGACTGGCAGTGTTGGGTCAGTACTATGCCAGTGGCACATTTCTACTTGGGAAGAGTAATGAAATAACTAAAAAAAAAAAAATATTAAAAATACTTTAAATAATCGAAAATCATTAATGAAGGCAAATATTTTGTAATGTCGACAAATATTTAGAATATATTGATCTACATATCAAAGTAACGATTTATCAAAATAAAAATCGATAAATCGAAGTACCAATCGACATATCGATATTTCAAACTATTAATCGATATTTTAAACAGTTAATGGATATGCCAAACGATATATCGAAGTACCAATCGATAGATCAAAGTAACAATCGATATATCGAAGTAACAATCGGTATATCGAAGTATACATCGATATATTAAAGTAGCAATCAATATATCGATATAACAATCGATACTTTAAATAGTTAATTGGCATGCCAATCGATATATTGAAGTATAGATCGATATATCGAAGTAACAATCGGTATATCGAAGTATAGATCGATATATTGAAGTAGCAATCAATATATCGATATAACAATCGATACTTTAAATAGTTAATTGGCATGCCAATCGATATATTGAAGTAACAATCGATATATCGAAGTAACAATCGATATATGGAAGTAACAATCGATAGATCAAAGTAACAATCGATATATTGAAGTAGCTATCAATATATCGATATAACAATCGATACTTTAAATAGTTAAATGGCATGCCAATCGATATATTGAAGTAACAATCGATATATCGAAGTAACAATCGATATATGGAAGTAACAATCGATAGATCAAAGTAACAATCGATATATTGAAGTAGCTATCAATATATCGATATAACAATCGATACTTTAAATAGTTAAATGGCATGCCAATCGATATATTGAAGTAACAATCGATATATCGAAGTAACAATCGGTATATCGAAGTATAGATCGATATATTGAAGTAGCAATCAATATATCGATATAACAATCGATACTTTAAATAGTTAATTGGCATGCCAATCGATATATTGAAGTATAGATCGATATATCGAAGTAACAATCGTTATACCGAAGTATAGATCGATATATTGAAGTAGTAATCAATATATCGATATAACAATCGATACTTTAAATAGTTAATTGGCATGCCAATCGATATATTGAAGTAACAATCGATATATCGAAGTAACAATCGATATATGGAAGTAACAATCGATAGATCAAAGTAACAATCGATATATTGAAGTAGCTATCAATATATCGATATAACAATCGATATTTTAAATAGTTAAATGGCATGCCAATCGATATATTGAAGTAACAATCGATATATCGAAGTAACAATCGGTATATCGAAGTATAGATCGATATATTGAAGTAGCAATCAATATATCGATATAAAAATCGATACTTTAAATAGTTAATTGGCATGCCAATCAATATATTGAAGTATAGATCGATATATCGAAGTAAAAATCGTTATACCGAAGTATAGATCGATATATTGAAGTAGCAATCAATATATCGATATAACAATCGATACTTTAAATAGTTAATTGGCATGCCAATCGATATATTGAAGTATAGATCGATATATCGAAGTAACAATCGTTATACCGAAGTATAGATCGATATATTGAAGTAGTAATCAATATATCGATATAACAATCGATACTTTAAATAGTTAATTGGCATGCCAATCGATATATTGAAGTAACAATCGATATATCGAAGTAACAATCGATATATGGAAGTAACAATCGATAGATCAAAGTAACAATCGATATATTGAAGTAGCTATCAATATATCGATATAACAATCGATACTTTAAATAGTTAAATGGCATGCCAATCGATATATTGAAGTAACAATCGATATATCGAAGTAACAATCGGTATATCGAAGTATAGATCGATATATTGAAGTAGCAATCAATATATCGATATAACAATCGATACTTTAAATAGTTAATTGGCATGCCAATCGATATATTGAAGTATAGATCGATATATCGAAGTAACAATCGTTATACCGAAGTATAGATCGATATATTGAAGTAGTAATCAATATATCGATATAACAATCGATACTTTAAATAGTTAATTGGCATGCCAATCGATATATTGAAGTAACAATCGATATATCGAAGTAACAATCGATATATGGAAGTAACATTCGATAGATCAAAGTAACAATCGATATATTGAAGTAGCTATCAATATATCGATATAACAATCGATACTTTAAATAGTTAAATGGCATGCCAATCGATATATTGAAGTAACAATCGATATATCGAAGTAACAATCGGTATATCGAAGTATAGATCGATATATTGAAGTAGCAATCAATATATCGATATAAAAATCGATACTTTAAATAGTTAATTGGCATGCCAATCAATATATTGAAGTATAGATCGATATATCGAAGTAAAAATCGTTATACCGAAGTATAGATCGATATATTGAAGTAGTAATCAATATATCGATATAACAATCGATACTTTAAATAGTTAATTGGCATGCCAATCGATATATTGAAGTATAGATCGATATATCGAAGTAACAATCGGAATATCGAACTATAGATCGATATATTGAAGTAGCAATCAATATATCGATGTATACAATCGATATTTCAAATAATAAATCGTTTTTTTTTAATACTGAAGAAAATAAATACAATTGTGGAAAAATATTTTTGAATTTTAAAATGACCTATTTCGTTTGACTTTTTTTTTGCAGGAAACGTATTTGTTATAGCAGCAATTGTACTGGAAAGGAATTTGCAATCAGTGGCAAATTACTTAATCGTAAGTTTGGCCGTTGCAGATCTCATGGTTGCCTGTCTAGTCATGCCTTTGGGAGCTGTTTACGAGGTATGAAATTTACAATAATTATTGCACATTAGATTTCAGAAACTACAAGCGCAACTATATTGTAAATTAAATTCAAAATTGCTCAATTATAATATAATTAAATTCAGTCTAATCAATTATAACAAGCATTAGTGTAACTTTTCGTTTAATCACATATTCGTTTAATTTTAATTAAATATGTAAATTATGAAAATAAACCCCATGAATTAATTTATTTAATTATTTACTTATAATAATAATAATTAATTATTTAATTATTAAATAATAAAATAAAAAAAAAATATTAATAATAATAATAATAATAATGATAGTAATATAATAAATACTGCGACTACTACTATTTTATTAATAACAAAAGTGCTATACACTTAGGGGAAATATTATTTACAGTTTTAACAAAAATAAAAGTTCTCGCGTTTTACTCGGAATAAATTTTTTCTAACAACTATTTCTTTACGAGCACATTAAGGGCTCTATCTTCTTTTTTTTTATTATTTAATAACGCCGTCTGAGTTCGAATTTATTAACTACTTTCCAATATGCCCTATAACTATAAATTTTTCTATAATCTCCCATTATTATATTGTATTTTGTTTATAAATAATATATTTCCAATAATTCATACAAAATGATACTTTTTAACGTTTCTTTAAAAAAAATGTCAATTTATTTGACTAGATAATTTTTTGTTTGGTAAAAACAAAACAAAAATAAATTAATATTTATTAAAGTTATAATGACTTGCGCATTATTATTGGACGTCATGGGGGTTTTTTTTTTAAATGCTTTTAACGTAAACGTAAATTAATGTCCCTCATTAACAAAACTTTTATATTTGACATTGTTGAAAAATAGTTGAGGCATATACACTCTCTTTAAAAGTTTTTAAGGGAATAAAAATGAAATTTATGTACATATCATAAGTTAAGTAAATGTTAAATTTTTTTTTTTTTACTAAAGTTTCAAAGTCTGTCCCCGGACGCTAATGACATCATTAGAGAGCAGACACTTTTAAATAAATTGTTTTCTTTCAAAATAAATGAAGGACACTAGTTAATTAAGCGAAATTCACGTGGACAAAATGTTGATAAATGGGAAACAATTATCTCAATAATTATTTCATATGCTATTGTATATATATTTTTTTTTTCGAAAATTAAAAAAAATTTTAATAAATTAGTAGATAATATATAATTTTGTTTTTTTCATTTACTTTTTTCTTTAATCATAAATTTTTATAGTTCTATTGATTTATGTTTAAATCAAGCCAATCGCTAATGTCTTTATTTTCAATTAATAACCAATCAATCGTTATCAATTATTATTTCAATTACACTGATCAATAATTGTAATAATACAATTTCTCTCTTTACTTTCTATTATTTAATTAATAAACGTAACTTATTATTTTTGATATTTATAAAATTTAATAGTCAATTCAACGAAATATTAATTAATTTAGCAAATAATAAATATTAATTGAAATAAACGAAATTAAATATTTACTTAAATAAATGTATAATTTATAAATTATTATAAAAATTATTTTCTTGCATGAAAAGTAAATTTCATTAGAAAAAAAATTTCGTGAGAATTAAAATTTTTTTTTTTGCATAATAAAAAAATGTGATTTTTTATTCCGGAGAATTTTTTTCAAAATTAAGAGACAATAATCATAAATTAGTAGTAGAACGCGAGTAGAACAAGAAATATAAAATAGAGTGACAGAAAAGGATTATTTATCATTCTTTAGTGTATATATATATATATATATATATATATATATATATGGGATAAGCCGCAGTTGAGCAATATCGAGAGTTATATTTCATGTTAATCGATCTCCAATATAGAATTGTTGTACAAGGCAAATATTATTTATTAGTTTAATTTTTAAACATCCCCATTAATTATTTAGTTGTTCTTCGTTTCGCTTTTGTCTTGATAAATATGTTCCCTTCGTGTTATTCAACAATTAAATACATTAAAAAAAAATTCAAAAGTCACGAAAATCGACACTGTGAGACAATAAAAGACAAATTAAAAATTTTTTTTGGAAAAAAGGCATCTTTTAACAATTGAAAAAAAAAATTTCCCCGTAGAAATAAAAATTGATACTTTTTCTAAAAGTCACGTTACTTAATAAAATTGAGTTTCAAATTTTTTTTTTCTAAATTCAGTTTTTATTACGTGTCAATGCATCTCTCTCTCTCTCTCTCTCTCTCTCTCTCTCTCTCTCTCTCTCTCCTTTAACTTTGGTAGATTTTCACTGGGTGCCATCTGTTCGAACTAGCTTTTCTTGTGAAGTTACTTCCGGTCACGTTACAACGTAACTTTGAGTGTGACACGACTTGAACAATAGATAGCGTGTCTGAATGTGATATTGATTTGAACAGAGGAAATTATTCGAGATATCTTGAAACAGCCCTTGAATTTCGACAAAATGTCATTCAACATGAAATAGAATTCGAAAACTATTTTTCTTTTTTTTTACAAATTCTTTTGCCCTTTTGTTATTTCAAAAAAAAAAAAAATTTGAATAATACAGTTAAACCTGGTTAACTGAACAAGAAATGGATTATTTAATTAATATACTAGAAAGTTTTTAGATAAAAAAAAAATTGTTGAAATATTCTTTTTAGTAATCAAGATTAAGGTGTCCCACTTAAACAGGTTTCACTGTATTTCGAAAAAAAAAAATCGCTAATATATTCCTAGTAATCAAATTTCATTTCTTGTTAATCTATCCAATTTTATTTCTGTATTTCTCGTTAAAAAAAAAGAATGTTTACTATGTCAGGTCCCAGTGTAGTCAATCACTATAGAAACATTATTTTAATCCAATTAATTGGCAAAAAAAAAACTTTTCTCATATTTTCCCTGATTATTAACATAAATATAATAAAAATCGAGGGGGAAAAATGAAAAGCAACTATGACCTTTGGTGGTGAAATAAATTGCATGGTTTATTGCACGGTGGTTTAATTGTGCTTTTGAGAGCAATAGAGAAAGAGACTAAAACGGCATTTTCACCCATCTGGTTATCTATAAATTTGTCACTAAACCCTGTTCAGCTTCTATCTCGAGATCTAAATTCACATCACGTATTTTGGCCCACGTGCTTCTTATATGAGAGTTCAACGATTGAACGCTACACTTCGATTGTACAAGTGCCTCCCTTTATCTGAGGATAAAGGGTGCTTTTTGCACCCTCTAAAAACCTCTAAAGAATTTATACTTTTCCATAAAAAAAGAAGAAGAAGAAGAATGTAAAAAAGAGCAAAGAATGAGGAAATACAAATTCAAATATTTTCCCATTCAATTTTCACAGGGACTTTTAATTTATACTGTAACTCGGAATTTCTTTTCTTTTAATTTTATTGCTTTTTTTTTAGAAAAAACATTTCTTTTATAGTTTCATGGAAAAAAAAAATTTACCTAAAACAGCGAAAGGTTTCACTGGAATAGCGAAAGATTTAACTGAAACAAGTAAAACTTTAGCTACTATAGTTAAACGTTTCGCTGTTTCAGGTAAATTTTTTTTTCCGTGTACTATTTTGATTCGTTCACTAAAATTACTAAATCAAATAGTAAAATTCTAGTAAAAATTAGTGAAAATTTCTATTAATTATTTTTCACTAAAACTTTAGTAAAAAAATAATGTTAATTATTAAAAATCGTAACAAAAAAATAAAGAAAAACTTTTTTTTTTTGAAGTTTATTAAAGGGACATTTTACTTTTCTTTAATTCCTCTTCAAATACGCGAGGAATTCGCGAATAAAAATTATATTGAGGTTGAAAAAAAAAGTTTTGACTTATTTTTGCAAAGTACATATATATATACTGCGAGATAATACATCAACGAGAAGGACAGAAACGTTTTCTTTTTGTTCTTCATTTTTTTTTCTCTCCACAAATGTAAAATAAACTCTATTTCAACCTTTCAACGGGGAATTATACGCGAAGGGAAATCAAAACACCATTTTTGTGAAATGAAGGATTCCTTGTTATTTCATTACTTCCTTTTTTTTCCAAATAAAGAAAGAAAGAATCTCCCATCTCTTCTTTTATTTCACACACACACACATTTATATATATATATATATATATAAATGAAAAAGGAAAAGAGCAAGATCCTTTTTTCTCACGCACGAGTAATTCCTGCATTATTTATATTTACGGCATTTAATGCAATAGAATCTAGCGCAAAAGGGGGAGAGAGAATTGTGGAATAGGTGGAAAATGCGTCCTTATCCGATTTACGTTGCTTCCCAAGGGAATGAGAACGGTTTTTTTTTTCTTCTCTTTCTGGACACCCTTTTTTCTATATCTTTTGCCCTGGTGGTGAAAATCCTCATTCTCCTCTTCCATCACGCACACACACACACACACACACACACACATATATATATATATATATATTCTCGAGGATCTTTGTTTTCTTTTCCCGAGCCTGGACAACTTGCTATAAGACTGCCATTCACGTATATTACAAACTATAATACCTCGCGCGAAAAAAAAGAAAGAGAAAGAGTGGAAAAACCTCTTGTATTATATTCTCATGTTTCATAACTGTAACCATATATCCAAAGCCGAAAAATTCATGAAAAATGATCGATGATCCTTAATAAATTTGTCTTTGATATATATTTTTTTTTTAATAGAAAAAAAAGTGAAACAAAATTAAACTGAAATATAAATATTATATATATATATATTCCTATATTACAAAAAGATATCGCCGCCGCCTCCGCCACCGCTGTTTCAAGAATTCTTGACCTAGGAGGGGGGAGTCCCCCCTCCTAAATTTTGAGGTTATGTTCGTTTCAAGGCTCTGAATATAGCCGCATGTCCCCCTCCCTCCTCTCATTTCCCCTTCACCGTCAAAAATGACCTAAATTTTGAGGTTATGTTCGTTTCAAGACTCTGAATATAGCCGCAAGTCCCCTCCCCTCCCCCGCCAGAAATGACCTAAATTTTGAGGTTATGTTCGTTTCAA